GGTTCAGAACTAGAAGGCCTGGCCCCCTGAATTTTATCATAGATTTGATGTTTTGCATTTGACTACTGCATCTATTCCGACTCAGTCCGAATCCGCTTTTCGTCGTAATCACCGGGTGTAGATGTAGGCTACTGGATGCAAAGCAGACAGGCAATTTGACCCCTTCCTCGGTTTTTACGATCTGGCCGAAACTTTCGACACAAATTAAGAATTAAGTATAGATCTAAGTGATGTCAAAAGTGAACAACAATACTACACTACAAAGGCAAACTTTACAGGGAAACAACACGGCAGTCTCAGCTCAACGCAGCAAAAAAATTGAAAATCAAAGTTTCAGAACAACAAAGGATTGTTTAACTGTCTACTAGATCTATAGAGGTAGTCTATACCCACTTTATTTGACGAGAAAGACAAAATCATTGACCAGTTGGAAGTCCAATTAAAAATTAAGAAGAGACAATTTTAAGTTAAAACCCTTTCAAAGGGAACAAAGGCGTCAAAGGTCAGTCATTCTAATGACAAAGTAACAGTGGTCTAAAGGAAAAGCTTTTCCAACAGCATACTTTACATGATGTTCAAATTAAATCAGGGTAAAACAAGGCAATACATGTGTCTTATTATATTAAACAAACAATACAACAATGCTTCTACAGTCTGAAGCAAGGTAAGCCTGGCAAGACCTGGGCTTGAGACTTGAAATTCTCGTGCCCACCAAGTAGTGTTTGAGACCTAGTATTTAGATCTGAGCAAGTCCAAGTCTTGACGTAGCAAAATATCCCTCAATCAAAAGACCAAATTATTTAAAAACGCAGAGTAAAAACTTTGAGTATAGATCTAAATCTAGACTCAGTGAACCAGTCAAGTCCAATGTCTAAAGTTATGCTCAAAACTGGTATGTTTCTAATAAATTTGTGAGGTAGCGTGGTGGAATCAGGCTCTCGTCAAAATAAAAAAAGTGAAGAAACTTGCATTTTTCCGCAGGTTTATGAATTTCTATCAAATTTTTGTTTTTTGATTCAACACCTTTCATGCCCATTAAAGAACTCATTTCTGTGTGGATTTTTCTGAACGCAGTGGCTACGTTCACGGCACCGTGAATGTAGTTGGCAGGCTACGTTCACGGCGCCCTGAATGCAGTTTGCAGGCGCTGTTGAGGCTACGTTCACGGCACTCTAAGCTTGGTTTAGATGGAGCGTCCACTGCCGGTTTTAGTCAGTGACTACAGTGACGTATATTTAATATTTTGGCCAGCTTCAAATGTTCCATCCCATGAGATGAAGGAAAACGAAAAAGCCTGGGAACCG